CGTGGAGCGGGACGTCCCGCCCCAGCCCCTTTGGGCCCCTGCGAGCGCTGCGCAGCACCTCGCTGCAGGCCGAGACAATCCCCCCCAGCCCCACGCGTTCTCCCGGCCCGAGGGAGCCCCTGCTACCCCCGCTCCTCCCCTCGCAGCACTCGCAGGCCGCCCGGCAGCCGCGGCCCGGCCCGGCCCGGCCCGGCCCGGCCCGGCCCTCACCTCAGCGCCGCGCCGGGCCACGCCGGTTGCTAGGCAATGGGGCAGCCCAACCGGGCCGCACCACTCGCGACTGGGACCGGGGGGGGTGCGCGTGTGTGTGTTGCTGCTGGGGCGACGCGCCGTGCTCGGAGTCGCCGATTCGGGGCGCGGGGGGGAGCGATTCCCTCAGAGAGGGAGCGGGGCGAGCGCTGCCGTTCCGCCGGCTCTGGTGGCGAAAGTACAAATAAACGTCGTTTTCGGGGTCCTCAGCGTGGCCGCGGGCACGGCGGAGGCGCTTTTTTTGCTTTACGAACACTCGTCTGTTAACACATAAATTGTTCTTGCTCAGTAAGGCTCCAACAGAGTTTCTTCGCTGAAGGGAGGCGATGCAAAGCCAGCCAGAATCGTGCGGTGTCTGTCGGGGCCTTCATCGGCTTAAAACAGACTTGGAAAAATTTATTACAGTATTTTAAAAAAGAGACCGTGGCTTTTACCACTACCTAGAAATTCTCACTTTTTGGTATTAAAGAGCAGTCCCTTGAAACACTTACCACCAATATTTTTTTTTTTACTTTTACCTCCATGTGTACAGGGGAGAAGGGAAAGCACAATTTTCTTTATTTTTTTTTTTTTTCCTTCAGACAGGCGATCTGGACAGACTGATGAGACTGAGAAATGCTGAATTAAACACAGCAGTGTTGCTGGCTTGGGTAGACACAGCCTATTTACTGTACATACCCTGACATCCCTTAGAAGTGTTGTCCCAAACCTGTAAGTCCTCCAGACTCCCAACAGGGTCAGTGGAGGAGCCAAAGAGAAACATTAACACTGAAGAAATCTGCACTGATATCTTGCATTAGGCAATATTAAAAACAAATTTGAGAGTATTGCCTGCCCCAGCTCCTTCTGCCAGGGGTGTATTATGTTTGTTTTAGGTATGAATATGTGTTTGGGACAAACCATATTCACAGCTCTGCTGTTTTTTTTTTTTTTTCATGATGTCTCAAATATAGGCATAATACAAAAAGCCAGAAACATTTCCAGAAATGTTTAGGTTTTTTTCTTTTTTTTCTTTTTTTCTTACATATTCTAAGAGTAAAATTCTTCTCTTTCAGCTTTTCTAACATAGAGGTAAAATGTGACCAAAAGTAGCGCAACGCTTGAATAAAAAAAGCAAGGAAGAAGAACTTCAGATCATAAAATTCAGCTCCCAGAACATAGTTCCCATACTTAGTAAAATGTAATTGCTGTCCATCAGGAAAGAATGCTGTCTACACCCTTGATGGGGCTGGGGAGAGATGCCCAGTGATGACAGCATTCAAACTGGGTTTAGGAGAAAGTTCAGGATCAGCTTCTACATCAGCTTCTTGTGAACTCTGGCTCTCACCATTTCACAGCACGTTTTCTGTCAGAGCAGGTCCTCACCTCACCTCTGCACGTGCCCCAGTGTGCTACATCACACTAAAGGCACGTATCCCCTCTGCGAGGCACCCGAAGCACCTCCTGTCTGCCAAACCTCCCATCTCAGCCTTCCCTTCCTGGGCGCGCCTCTTCCTCGTAGCCCCACGTGCGCAGCTATTTGCCTTTGGTGGAGCTTTGGCCATTTCAAACATCAGGGGAGAAAGCAAACTAGCCCTTTTCCAAACTATCCATTCACCTCAGCTGAGTAAACAGTCTAAGGCAGACAGTTTATTCTCCGTCTGACAAGCAAGCCGGGGAAATGGCTGAAATTATTTTCTCTTGCAGAATGGATCTGCTGGAGAGCCCTCGCGGGGGCTGGACTGCCCAAATCAGCTCCCCAGAACAAGGGGAGATGTCTCTGCAAAATGCTACGTTTTTTGAGTGGCATGGTTTGGCACTGAAAATAGACTTGCCAGCTCCAGAGCTTAATCATAGTGTTCCATGCTGAGCCTGGTTAAGTCTATGTGTTTGCCAGGTTTTTATTCCTGTTTCCAAGAAAAAGGCCATGGGAACATAGTACAGCAAATAGCATGTTAACATATTTCTCCTCCCACAGAAACACAATTCATGTGTACGTTTGTATGTTTGAACAGAGATAGCTGAGTGTAAACCAGAATCCCTCTATGCTTTCACATCAGAGGAGCTGAATATGATGCACCTCAGGAAAAGCACTCTGTAAGGTTTCCTGAGAGGTAGCAAATCAGTGGAAAAGATAGGTGAAAAGAAGGGATTATCGACCAGCAAATCTGCAGATTTTCTTAGGAAGACTAGTATAGAGATTGTGAACTAGGATTTAAATAGATGATCCTCACTTCAGTTTTATCTCCATATTCCAAATATCAGATGAAAAATACTTGGCCTGATTATCAAACTGTAATAGAGGCATTGCAAACAATTTAATTATTTAGCAAAGGAGGGAGAAAAATGAATTATTAGACTGAAACACTAATGGAAATTTTAAATATTAATAAAGAAATATTTAACATCAAAGTTGGTTAGTGTTTGATAAGTAAACAACCCTACAATCAGAGTAATGCAAAGCAAAGTAATTTCTTTTATTTACTCCTGAAGTTACAATTAAAAGTCTTTCAAGATTGCATGAACAAATTCTGATGTTTCATTTCTGGTTTAGATTACAGGCTTGAAAGAAATTCCAGCTGCGACAAATTTAAAATGGATATACTGAGTAGGAATGAAGGTAGACGCACACAGCCAAGTGTAACGCTACATTGTTTAAACAAACACCTCATTTCAGGATATGTGAATTCTTGTTAACAATTCTCTTTAGTCTGCTGCTGCTCTTCAGTTTCCCAGCCCGCGCTGTCTGTCCTGCTGCACCGACATCTGCTGAGCTGCAAGTCAAGCGATGGTTTGCACAGGTGAGAAATTTCCAGGTTTTATTTTGCATCCAGCTTCTTTCAGATGCTCAGCCTGCACATTAATATAATGGGACAGTCACAAAATATTAGTCTCTAATTTACACCACTGGTGTTTAAATCTAACATTGTCTGAAACTCCTGGGCAACCATTGCCTGTTTCAGAAAATGCACCACGTTCAGAAGTATGTTCAGGAGCAAAACTTCCTCAATTCCACAAACGCAAGCAAGAGTGGTGGCTTTCAGGGGAAGCTGTTACAATATGAACGGAATAATAAAATATTCCTTGAGCCAAAGGAAGAGAGAGAATGACTTGGCACCCCACCAAGATGACGCAGCATTGCCAATGTGGTTTCTTCAGACTACTGTAATGACATTGTCTGGCTCCCTCTCAGACCCCTTTTAACAATTTGTTTAATCCTTTGACCAGTTTCAACCAAACTCTGTGAGAAAGCAGAGCTCTTCAAGAAATGAAAGTTACTACGTGTTTAGTGCGGACAGGAGCGAGGAAGACTGAAACATTTGCCCTTTGTGAGGGAAACAATGCTGTGGGAGGGTGGCAGCTGGGCAGTCAGCACATGCAAACCGGGCGGCTGGGCAGGACGGGCATAGCATGGAGGCAGAGCAAATACTGCTGCTTGCCTGAGTCCTGCTCTGGGGATGTGGGGAGAGATGAGGGTGGCGTGAAGGGAAACAGAGAGCATTGCAGCTCGGTGGTCCTAAGGAGCACAAACAGAGATGAGCTGGAGTTACTGTGGTCAGAGTGGGCATGGGAAAGGGCAGCACTCGCTAGGAAACCCGGATTCCTTCATTGTGCTGCTCAGGGGATGGTTTACTTAATCCAATGGCTGGATTTTCAGTGCACAGGTAACGAGTTTTATGGTCATAGTCATTGGCTTTACTGGTAGATCTGGAGCACACCAGTGTTCTGGGTAGCCCCTTGTCATATTTGACCTGTTTGGGGTGATGGTGGTGGTAAATTGGAATAGGTCATAAAAGAGGTTTTGAGACATGCTGAGGACTGCAGTTTTTTGAGAAAGAGCGCTAGTGCATGGTGCAAACCTTGGCTCTTTTTTGAAGCCATATTCCTTATTGTGCTACAAGTGAACTTGGCAAGCAAGGGTCTGGAGCTGCTGCCTTGGCAGCTGGGAGCCTGTACCTAGGGCAAGCGTCTTGCAACCTATAGCACTGGGATGAAATGCAGACTGGCTGTTTCTCTGGATATTGGATGAGACGGTGAAGCCCAGGGAGCATTTAGAGTCCTCTTTGGAAGGGGTGGGAAGAACAGATCCCCTGTTTGCCCTTCCTCTGGTACCTGCCCCAGGCTCGAGGTCGTGCTCGCCTGGGCTTGGTGGGAGGCGGGTAGCCGGCTCTCCTGCAGCAGGCTCTGCCAGCCTCCTGATTTCTGGCTCTAGGGGATGTGTGCTCAGTGTGGGAGTCATGTGCAGAGCTGTCGAGAGCAGAAGCAGTGCAGGCAGCCTGAATCACATTCCTCCAACTCTGTTTCTCAGCAGGGAATTTATTCCAGAGCTGTATTTCCCCTTGATTGATTACCTCTGCCTTTGTGGGGCTGACATCTTACACAGGAGTCCTGCTTGGTGCCTTATCATGGGAGCACAAGGAATGATCATTCCCCAGCGACACCCGTCGATAACAGTGAATAATAGGCAGGAAGGGAGGCAGACGATAGTAGGAACATGCTCACCAGAGGTGCTGTTATTCTTGGGACAGGAGGCTTCTGCAGAGGAGGAGGGGAGCTTGGAGGGTGGACGAGGGGTCCTGTCATTGCTGATGATCTCTAGGGCTCAGCAGCTGGAGAGAAACATTGGCTAAGGATGGTCAAAGCTGGGAAGGAAAAAAAGCAAGGAGGGAAAGGGATGAAGTGAAAGGATCTAAAAGCCACGCTGGAGAGCACAGAGACAGCCCGGTGACCTCTGATGTGCAAGGGATGAATGCAGCAGACTGTGATTGACTATGTGGACCATCTGGGTGATCACCTTCTGTATTTCAGCTGTCTTGGTAAGTGCTCAAAGCTATTTATTTTCAATTGCATGAAATCACATGTTGCCTGAGTAAGTGTACCTCTATTCCATGAAATCATGGTGTCTTTGTTTAAAAAGGTCTGTGTAGAACCTGGGATTTTTTAACGTTATTCTTTCTTCTGCTGCTTCCTGCACTAATTGACAGTGGCCAGATGGCTAGATGATGGATGCCTCAGTTTCCCCACCTGGATAAAGCATCAGTGTTACTAACCTGCTTTGGTAAACATAGCAGGTTCTGCGATGAAGGAGAAAAGACTTGATGCCATTTAGAGAAGCTTTACTGATTTACACCAACAAGTAATCCCCTAAGGGGGAATGCCTACCACTACCAAGCCTCCCTTGACTCAGATTGAAGGAATGCAAAGCGATGTTTGACCCACAAAGTTTGTTTTCTTTCTTTTAGCTTTATCACTTTGCTGGGAATTTATGTGGCAGATTGTCACTGCTGAGCGCCGAGTGCTCAGACCAGTCGGGAAGGACAGCTGAACCTGGGCTGTGATCTCCAGGTGCTGCTCAGCTTATCCAGATTTTGAAAGCATATAAAATCAAGACTGAAGTATGTCCAGCCTGGGTGTGAGAAGTTGGGAAAGGATCAAACTCTCAGCAAAAGTGAAAAATCACTGTTCCATTGCAACTAATGGAAAAATCAATCTATTTGTCTCAGCAGGGGATTTGGTACAAATTCTGAGAAACCCTGATCTCTGCCCAGACATTTTAATTGCAGATTGAATGCAATCTGCGAAGTTTTTTGCCTTTTGATCATCTTCCACAATAAAAATAGTGACTGATGGTTTTCTTGTTGTTTCGGTTTCTTATTCCTAGGTACTACCTAAAGAACTCTGTAAATAGATGTCACTGTTCAGGATTCCACTGAGATCATCTCCTCTCACTTGTTCTTTTTCTAATCCTTCAAAATACCTATTTTGATTTTGCCATGCCTCTTTTGTTCTTCTTTAAATCCTCTCATTAAGTTAAACGCACTTACTTTCAAATTAAATGCCTCTGAATTCTGTGGCTGCAAATATTATATTAAGTAGCATTCAGAACCATTCATTTTACAGGTTAAAAACTGTAATTGGCTATTGCTATCAACATCACGAACTGCAGGTTTCTGCCCATTCTGGACATGTAGTTATCACAGCTGTTTCTGTTTGGAATGGTTTTGGTATTGTACATTGTCTTTAAACAAATTATGAGGACGTCTCTCCCCCTCATCAAAATCTGACAGCCTGGCAGCTGTTTCGGTGAACTGTTTAGGAAGAGACATAGAAACTGCACGTAGAGGAGCCCATTTTTCTCCTTGATTACAAGGCGTGGGGGTAGGCTGTTTGCTCCCAGTTGTGGACTTGTGGACGGTAAACACGAGCGCGAGACTGAGCGCGGTCGGCAGCGGCGCGGGGTTATCTGGCCGTGGCACGGGAAGCGGGATTTCGCGTCGCTCAGCAAACAGCCGCGCCAGACCTGCGACAGCCCCACTCGTGCCCAGCCTGGCCCGTTGGATGCCAGCGTTGGCAAAGGCCGACCAAGGGACAGCATTTGTGGAAAACAAGGTCTTTAAACCGGCACCTGGATTTTCTCTGATTTCTCTGGGTTTAAAATCCTGTCGCCTGCACATCTATCACCAGGCAGCAGTACATACCCGATCAGGAGAATAGGGTGGACATCACTTGGTGGGGTAAAACAATAATTGTAAGGCATTAACCGCACCATATTGCTGCTTGAGCAGCACACTTCATGTAAGAAAATCATGCAGTATCAGATCATCAGGTTGGTCTTCGCAGCTGAATGTGCTAAATGTGTGCACCCTCATTCTAGCCATAAAGAAATAACATAAGCTTTAACTCTTTTTCTAAAACAAAAGCTTTCTTAGGACCTACGTTTCTTAAAAGGAAACAGTGCCCACCAGATGTATAGCCTTTTTTAAGGTGAAAAACTTTCCTGTTTCTGAGATCACTACTAACGTGATTGCTAGAATGTATTTTTACATATGTTCAGTATCATCCTGAACAACCCACATGCAGACCACACTGCTTCTGTTGGCCACTTCAAATGCTCAGCACTAATGTTGCTTTTTAATGTATTTTCAAGGCAACTTTTGGACAGAGATACTACAGCAGAAGTATGTTGTAGGTCTTAACTGTCACATTTGTACTTGTGAACTCTGAAAATATACTAAATTGCTTTACTGCTGGTAATCAAATAGATAACAGTAGAGAATGATAAATAATGCATATTTTAAACAACTGTCAATATTCAGAAATTATCAATTTCAGCCTTCAGCTAACAACTGAAACTACTAAATGCAATTACATTTTAGACATTACTCCAGTCACACATTTTTATTTTTTTCAAAGATTAAATGGATTCTAATTTTTTTTTTCCAAATATTACATGGATTAAAAATGCATTTAAATCCTGGCATCAGAGGATAGTTTATTTCATCTGAATTCTTTGCATGTGTGATTCCAGAAAACTCATTACATTATGTAAAACCAAGTGGGTTTTAGTTTAATTATTTCATGATGCACAAAGACAAGGGAGAAAGATGCTGAAGTTAAGCACAACAGACCAATTAGATGAGGCATGATACTTTGCTGAAAAGATCAAACTTTGTTCAGAAATACAATATCCAGAATAATTCCAGCCAAAATGTGTGGGAGTATAGTCACTGATGTCTGTTAGGCTAAAATTTAACTGTAGAAAAGTAGTAGTTCTCATTACAAGATTTTCAGTGATCATTCTCTCTCCTAAATCTAATCTGAAAATAATCAGCAATGCTACAAGATTGGTTAGGTTGAGTAGTAATAAGATCCAGGTTAACTTTTCCTGCACAAAGAACATAAAAAATTCTACCTGATACTTTTCAAATAATACATCATGATGACTTGCTTTTAATCTTTTGAGTATGTGTGTGTATATACATATGCATATATATATATACACACACATATAAGTTCCATAGTAGGAATTTATAAAGATTTTTGGGTTTGTTCATGAGGGAGGAATTATCTAATTTGTTAAAATGGGAACCCGGTTATATTTAATATTTTTATTGTCAAAAATAATAGAAACTGGTGAAATCACAGAAATGCAAAAAGTACTTTTTTACTGCAAGTCATAACAACCGAGAGCTTGTCCTGCAAATAATTTTACAATTATTTTTACTACATGCCATTTTAATGGTCTGTAGCCATTTTGTACATTCATTTTGGCCCAGCTACATATAACATAAACTTCACATTTAATTGCTACGTCAGGATTGAGTTAAGACTAGCATTTCCACACTGATTTGTGAGAAAGGAGGATAGGGCAAGATGGGAATGTAAGAAAATTACCTTAGGACAAAATACCACCTAGGTTCTCACAAAGATCTGCTCTCAGATTGGCTCCTGCAGCTTCCTGATCAGTAGCAGAGAAACAGGCTTGGGTGGTCTGCAACCATTGGACGTATTTGGATCACTTATGCCCAGGAAAATGACCTGACAGGTCTGTGGTTTAACACGGCTCAGGGCGAGTAATTAAGTCCAGTAGTGCTCTGGATGTTTCAGCAGTCTTTTGGAAGAGCATCCTGCTCATGTACTTAATTTGGTGGAATAACACATTCATTTTCCTCAATAACAGTAATGTCAGCAAAAGGGAGAAGGCAGAAACCCAGTCTGTGCTTGCCTGCTGCTACTATAAAAAAAAACAGACTTAATTAGTAAAATTAACTGTATTTCAAGGAAATATTGCCCATCATCAGTTGATAAAGTTGCATGAGGAATGTGAACATAAGAAGGGTAAATCCTGTCGAGGGGACAGTTTTAAGAGGAAAAGTGATTCCACTGCTTTTAAAATTTGCAGATCAGAGCTGTCCCGCCTGTCTGTGACCTCCTGAACGTCCTGAAAAAGGAGGAGGAAAACTGTGCCAAGACTCTCTCCCTGGAGGTAAAGAACAGAACGCCCGAAAACGATCTGCTCCAGAGCTCAGGTAAAGGCTGAATGAATGTACACAATAAAAACAGCTCTCAAGTGATCTGGGTGCCTCAAAATCAGATACCCCCACATTCCTTCCTATAGGAAAAACGTCCCTTGTATGCATCTCTCATTTAGGAGCAGAAAAACAGGTAAGATCTGTTATAAGGCTCCAGGAGTGGGATTTTGACCTTACTGTGACAACAAGAGTCATAGGAACCTTCTAACTCAGCTGCTCAGCTGCACTCCTCACACCTAGGAAGCACATCAGCCATAAAACTTTACAAATTGCAGAGGGCTTGGAATTCTTCTCATCTTGGACAAGAATATTTTTATAAAGTCGGGCCAGTAAGTGCAAATTTACTTAACTATATTTGCCTTCAAAATCAATGAATACCAGCAGCCAACATTTAAATCACATGGCCTGAAGATCCTTGTTGCTTCCTCCTTGCTCTACCTTACTGTCATGTAACAGAGCTCTTGCATTTCAGAGAGGATTTATCATCATATAAAGGAGTTTTTTGGTCTGGGAAGGTCTTGTGGTACTGAGTCCTCCCCATATAGACAGTTTTCCTTACAGCTGAGCAAGCGTGTTCATGTGTGAGGGGTCTCAGGGAGATGACTGCAAGCAATTATTGAAGCTTGCCTATGAATTGCGTGTTGGCCCCAAAGGAGCAGCAGCTGGGTCAGCCTCTCACAAAGTACACTGGGTGGATGCAACAGATGTGACTATTTTTTGTGTGTGACTAGCCATCACCACTAAGGATGGGTCCTTCACAGCATCTTGCTGACTGAACTGTTTCTGGGTGACTTTTGTGGACCACGGCATGGCAAGGTCCTCACCAGTGTGGAAAGTGAAGGAGCTCCTGTGAGATGTGCTGTGTGCAGAGATAAACTAAGGTGTGGAGCAAGAGTTGATGCTTTTTCTTAGTTTCAAAGCCTTCCTCTTTAGCACAGGGTGCTGGAGACACAGAATTTTTTCACTATGAGCTGGCCCAAAGGCAGGACTCAGAGGAAAGCTCTATTGCCTGGTTTCTTAGGTTGTCTTGCATTTTTTCTGCCCCTGTTTTATCCCTGTGAGCCTTGCAGACTGATGCAGACAGCTCCAGGGCAGTGACAAGGTACCTTGTGGCAGGTTGCCAGACACTACAGAATACAGTTCTGCCTCACTGCATATAAGAAGTTTGATGATATGAGTATATCAGTATGGTTTGTTTCCTTCCCGGTGCCTTTCACCAGAGACCAGAGTGGTTTGACAACCTATCTATTTTTTCTGCATTGATCCTGTAACATGGCTCTAATGTTGAGCTCTGCATTTGCTTTGCACCAGAGCTCTGAAGATGCAAACAAGTTAAACTTTACAGGACCATGCAGGTGTGGACCAGCACTATCATTAGCAGGCAGTACTGTTTTACAGATGGTCTTGTTTTATCTCAGTGAAATAGTAGATCCTCAGCAGAGACTTAATCCAGCTTTAAGCTGGATCCAGAAGCTTTGACTTGTGTGGACAGGAAGAAGGGCAAAACGGGGGACAAGCTTCCATGATGCCGCCTCTGCTGCAGTGCTCACATCTCTGTGAAAATGGCACAAACACACAGGATTAGCTGCAGGTGAATCAGGCACAAAGGACCTGAGCAGTATGTGTTTCTTATCCTCCTGCAGTATGAGAAAAAAGGGACTCTGCCCTTGTGATACTGTTAGCTTAGCGAAGGGAGAAATGTTATATTAACATAACTCAAGTCATGCTCTTTTTTGGGCAGCAAAAACTGTGCTGGGAGCAGAGGAAGGAAGCTGCTGGAGGTTTGGGACCTCTGTTCTTGGTGACACTGTGTATTGCTGCTGGGGGAATGCTCTATCTGCTACTTGTGGAAGGTCCCAAAGAGCACAGGGATGTCAGGACGGTGCTGCTGTGCTCTGCCTCTGCCCAGGAGGCTCTTTAGCTAGGCAGGGGTGGGTGACACCAGCTTTGCTCCATGAGGAATGACAAGAAGGAGGAGGAATGCAGGAGGAATGGCTCGGCTGGTTTTTATTTTTTCTTCCTGGGCAGAGATCATTGCAACATTGTAATTTTTGCCAGGTTTTTCTGTGTGCTGAGTCTGATTTGGGGGCTTTATGCCAGTGGTGTGGGCATGAAGGTTCAATAACCCAAACAATGCAGCACAGCTAGGCATAAATATCACCCAAGGTGATGTTTCATTTGTTATTAAACTGTTGTTTTGAAGTAAATGGTTACCAAGTCCTATAAACATTGGCAGAGGGAGGACATCAGAGCTGAGGTGCCCTGGCTGTGAAAAGTTTTGCATTTCCAGGCACTAGCACTGTTGTGCAGGAGGAAATCAATACATTTCTAGAAATGTAAATATTTTTGTCAGGCTAATGGAGGCTGGCCTTATAAAGCATGAAGCATTTCAACACAGCTCTCAGCACTTCCTCCCCTTGGTTTTCAGTGAGCCTGCAGGGCATTCGGGATTGATACTGTTTCTCTCTTCCCTTTCCCCAGTATCATTCTGAAGCTGTTTAAACTCCTGGTCAAGTTGTATCTTTTTTTTGTTTGTTTGTTTACAAAATGATTATGTAAGGAAAACCCCAGGGGTAACTCAAAGTGGAAGATTTAGAAAGACTGAGAAGTGAACTGAAAAATTCACATCTGGTTTCCTTCATCTTTCCAGGGCTGTTCAATAGTTACCAGAAGACAGGTGGGTAGCCAAGAGCCTGACGTAAAGTTCACAATGGCCCAAGTTACTCTTTGTCTGGCTAGTAGAGACCAGTGGAGTCAAGGATGAGAATGGAACAGGTCTGAAGCTTGCTGGGGCTGCTTGAAGCAAGCAGGACCTGTTCTGTCCTATCCAGGTCTTGACAGGTCTCAGCAGGACTTGCCCTGTCTCATCCAGCTTGCTTTTCAGAGTACTGAGCATCTTTGTTTCCGTAGCTGCCTTGGTCCTTGGGAGACCTAGCATGGTGTTTCATTGCTTGGAGATGTTTCCTAGTGTTTCGTTGTTGGGAGAAGTTTCATGGTGTTTCATCACTGGGACACACTGCATGGTGCTTCCTTATTGCCCCCCCAGGCAGATGTGCTGGAATGTGGGATAACATGAGTTGCTGGCCTTCATCCACTGTGGGACAGACTGTCAACGCTCACTGCCCTGAGTTCTTCCAGATGCTGACTGGGAAAAAAGGTAACACTAAAAATAAGCTTTCTTTCCCAGGTGCTTTTTATTCGCAATATTTTGTTATTTACGAAGATGCCACTATCAGGTCTGAACTTGAAGTGAAACTGTGTCCCTGCTTCTTTTAAAGACTGATGATCACTAAGCAGCTCCATTTCCAACACTAAGCTAAATGTGGGAAAGCCTGGAATTAAAATAAGATGCTTTAAGTGTTTATTTTTCTTAGCCAGGTGGTGAAAAGTGCAGGAAGTAAATGCTATCCTGAAAAGCAGCTTTTTAGCATGGTTTGTTGAGGGAAAGAATTTCCTTCACTAAGGCTCTGTGTTTCTGTATTTCTGTCTGTCTTTCCGCCTCTAGTAACTCCTAGAGCCAGTGGCTGATCTCAGCTGAGCTTGACAGGGACAAAACTTCACACAGTATTTAGTTCATACAAGTTTTGGCAAAACAGCCTGCCAGACAGTGGGAAAAGATCCCTTTTTTTATCTCCATCAAGAGGAAATCTGCACTGGGTTCATCCCTTGGCTATGACAGGCTACACACAAGTGGCACAAATTCATGAGAACTCAAGTTTCATGGCTCACCAAACAACTTACTTAAAAAGAGATAAGCTCAAGCAATGTTTGTTGCCTTTTTTTCCCCTATGATTTCTAAGACAGAAATGAAGTGAAATTTATTCCCAGTACGCTATGGTAATCATGAGACATTAAGTAGGACTTTCTGCCTGCTTTCTGCTCATTTGTATTTTTCAGCAATGCCCAAGAAATGTGCTTACATTTCCCTTTGGTGAGTTAAAGTTCTAAATTGGAAGAGGGTTTTGTATTCTTCAGTTGGAGGACACGGATTAATGAAGTCCAGTACTTACTGAAAAGCAGGCAGTGTTAGTCTGGAGTAACTGGTGGGAGGAACAGGAGACAAAGTATTAGATTGTCTAATAAAGACAACAGATAAGTCAGAGGTGAAGCACTTAGTGTTCTTTAAATAAAATCATACATGAGCCATTCAGATTAAAATAAATACCATACTCCTTTCTGTACATACAAACAGTAGCTGCTCATTGAATCCTATAATCTGCTTTAAAGGCAGAGGATAAACTACACAAAGACACAGATCGCTGAAGAAATCATCTGTCTGGCATGCGCTTAGAAATCTTTAGCATAGTGATACCGGCCCTTAAATGCATTAAATGAAATCACTGCTGGTGCAGCCACTAGAGGGAACTGCTCCCTGCCTCTGGCCTTCGTACTGGGGAGGAAAACAGGAATTTGTACATCCAAAGGTCACAATTACATCTCAAATGTGCATTGCATTATCTTGGAGATAGTCTAACAGCTTTAAACTTTAGTTGCCCTCCTTATCGAGAAGCTGAGAGCTGAACCACTTCTGACAAGCAATAATCAGAGTGACAGTGTTCAAAACAGAAACCCGAGACATGGTCCACTGGCATTTTCATCTTATTTTGGTCTTTGCATCTGGCATTTTGGGTCAAAGTCAGCAATAGTTTATTCTCATTCTCATAGCCACATTCTTCTCTGATTTTATACTGTGGTTGGCTTGTGACTCATGCATTTAATTACTGCTACAGTCGTTGTCCTGTTTGAAGCAATTTTGCAAAAGAAAAATAAAGATCTGTTTGCTTGAAAAAAAAGCCAAAGTTTTCCCTCCTCACCACTTACAAAGCAGATGGGCAGCTGCAAATGCCAAAGACCCATACGTTAAGGGGTGCAGAGAGCTCTGAGCTCTGACCAAACCCTGGTCTCTGTGCTGTCAAGTTTTGTACTGATATCTAGACTTGCATTTGCAGCCCAGACTGTCTGGCCCCTTCCCATATAACAGACCAAAGAAACAAAATAATCTGGAACCAAGTAACGTAATTGAAGTTCACATCCAGACCTGCACTTTGTGTCTCAGGCAAGAAACGAGGAAAAGTGTGACGGCCGTGGGGATTCAGGGACAGAGGAGGCCACTTCAGATGGCCCCAGTTCCACAGCCATCCCTTTAGCCAGTGTTCCCCCTTGCCTAAGCAACTCCAAAAGCCTCCAAGGCACCAGTAAACACCAAGCGTGGATTGGTCATTAGACAGACTGCAGACCCCAAGTCTGCTCTGAGTGGGACATGCTGCAGTTTCCCCAGTGTGTGTGTCACCCATAAGCAAGTAGCATTGTTAAAATTGTGCTCATGTCTATCAATATACCACGCCCTGCATAATCTCCCATGCTTTGCATATGGTGCACTCACATGCACACACCAACACAGAACTTCACCTCTTCTTGTCTGATCTACTTTGACATCCTCAGGCAAAAACTAGTTACAGGCATGTTTACAAGCACAGCACTCTGCTCTGAGTTAAGTACGTGTCTTAATAATTGAAGCTGAAGTAGAGAATTTGCCACCATACCACTCCCTTGCTGAGTGCCAAGGCAGGTTGAGGAGAACTGTTTGGGAGAGCTGTTTCTCTCTTGTTGTTGCTGCACTGCAGCAGGGCATAGAAAATCTGGCTTAAAGAACAAGCCTGGCCCTTTCAAAGATGCTAAGTTGAAACAAGATGTTCATAAAAGCATCAGAATAATAGTCTGATTCTGACACACCCAGAGGTCTTCCCACCTGGAGGTCTCAGCATATTTGCTGTGCCTTGCAGTTCCACAGAGGTGAGTTCAGATCACGTGCAGACATGCTGTCAGGTCACCAGAATTAGCCCAGAGGTAGCAGGAGCCCTGACTCTGTCCTGACAGTCCCAGCAGGGCCAAAGAACATAAACCAGTGCCAAACACTGATGCATATGCATCTCCCTCCATTCACTCAACACTGTGGGGATGTTTTTCAGGAACTGGATGCTCTAGAGTCCCCATGGCTAAATGTGTGATCAAAAATAGACTTTCACAGTGCCTTCTGGCAAAGCTTCCTCTAAGAAGGGCTGCTGATTTCAGGTCCTCTCTAAGTCCTTGCTAGTATTGACATTACTGGAGCAAAGCCAGGATTTCACTCCAGGTTTCTAAAGTGTGGCTCCTACCTGACGGATTAATGTGATTAGGACATCGGGCAGTGGTTTTACTTCTCTGTAAAAGTTTCTCTTTTCTTCAGTGCATAACTTACATGCCTGCTAGTGTGATTTCCTTCCAGTGAGATTGCAAGGTGTGTGGGGCAGAACTTCCAACTTCCACTTTAGAGCCAAACATGAATATGGATGTGTTCAAACCTGTCCTATCCAACCATGTGCAACTTGTTGGGGATCCATGTCACTCAGCTTTAGGAGTCTAAAAGTCAGATGCCTCAGGAGAAGTGGGTCAGACAAACTGCCCTCTGCAGATGTCTGTCTGAAAATTAGATTAATTCTGCAAATGCCTTTTTTTCTCCACTGACTAGAAATACAGCCATGAGGGACACAGTTGGACTCAAGTATTTAGCATTCAGAAGTCTAACTTCAGTGAGGGGAATCCCATCTTAGCTTTTAATTTACAAGTAAGCAAGGAAATCAACAGTGTAAGATAATGCTCAGACTTGGCTGTGGGGACAAGACTTCTAGTTTTCATTCAAATCTCACCAAAAATCTGTGACCATCTAAAGTTTTGTGTTCTCTTCAGACTATGACAAAACCACAGTAAAAAGGTGTGAGCATTCAGGAAAGTATCAGGTTTGCATAGAGTATGAATCTGTGATTGAACAAGTCATGTGTTTGCTGATCTTGGAATACTGGCCAAGAAACACAAGATGTACCGAACAGGATTATTTATGTTGCAATTAATAAAAACACATCCATCACAGTCATCTCTGAGTGGGCAAACAATATTATGACCCACACAAGTACACTGGGCAAGTATCAACATCATTATCTCAGCTGCATTTCACCTCCAGCTATGCAGAGTGCACTGCCTGGGGGAAAATATTCTCTTTGCTCTTGGAGCAACCCTATACCTTGGTGACTGACCCCTGAGGAGAACTAAGATATAATTGGAAATGATCATACCTGGTTCTGTCTTTTTTTTTGTTGTTACCACACAGGTTTTGTCTACCGAAACTGTACAAGCGAAGGTTGGTCAGACCCATATCCAAGACCCGATATCGCTTGTGGCTACAACATTAACGACACAGCCAACGAAGCAAGAGTGAGTCTGAGTGCCTGTGATCACAGATCTGCTGCTTTGGGACCCTGGGGGAGGAACATGTTAAGGAGAGACTGAATGATGTTGTGATTTAACTCAGGTGGGGGTTATTGTTACAGGTGTTTTTCAGCATAAATACTTCCTCCAAGTGCTCAGGATGGGTTGCTCAGGGTAAAACTTCAGTAGCTGATTTTACAACAGTATTTATTTGTTAAATAGGAGGACACAGCTTTCTCTTGGTATGGGCTGATTTCTACTAGACAGTCAAAGTTAAAGATGTGACTATGTGTTCCTCTGCAGCGTTCCTATTTCATGACTCTGAAGACCATGTACACCGTTGGATACTGCACCTCCTTTGTGACACTGGCGATTGCCTTAGTGGTCCTGGTCTCTTTTAGGTGAGGAGAAGCATCTTTGGTTTGTGTTTTGGCCAAGAGTTCTGGTCATCTCAGTTGACACAGATTCTTCTGCTGGCTTTCAGAGCAAGTGAAAAATTTAAGTATTTCTGAAAACGATCACAGAGATCAGTGACAAAAATTATCTCTGAGTCTTGTCTCCCAGAAAATGTCAGAGCTGCTTCTCATATTGTGCTCTCCTGTCCTTTCCAAAAGGTAGCTGGGTGTATTTTGCAGACTGGCATTTTCACTGCTTCCCTGCTGAGATCTTCCTGTGACTTCAGTGTTCCTTGGGTAGTGTCTTTCCCCCTGCTGTTCTTTTCCCCACTTGAGACTGTGGCTAAAACTTTGCTCTGAGTGCTGCTGCGTTGACTTCTGGGAAGGTGTTTCAGGTTTATAGTAGTGATCTGACAGTCAGCTTATCTTCACGCATCTTTATAACCTGGAATTTGTACTTTGCTGCTTATCAGTGAAATTAATTTCCATTACAGTAAGTGTCAGGGCAGCATCTCTGGGCAGAAGGAACCCCAGTTATTTTGCAAATTCATCTTCAGGCTGGACAGCCTCTGGACCCAGATTATGTGGGGATTTAATACAGAAAACAAGTGCACTATGCAGGCAAACCAAATAAATCCACCCAGGTGTGAATAAACACCTTGGGTTCATGTTACTCCAGAAGGGAGGGAGGGAAGCTAGACCAAGCATATTGGCATGAAATCACAGTTCTTCTGGCAGCGTTCAGCTTGGTGGAGCAGAGGTGACTTTGGCTTTTTATGGTCTTCTCTAGGATATCCCTCTTGGGAAATGCATTAGTTTTCCTTTCACAGATAGAAAAACAGTGTTCTTAATTTGTCCGTTTATCATTAATAAGGATTGAAATCTGCTGTTTACAGCCACAAGTTACCCACATTGTCTAGGAATGTAACTTTACAGGATATCTCTCTCTTTTTGTAACAGAAGACTTCGTTGTACGAGGAACTACATCCACATGCATCTTTTCACATCATTCATTTTGCGAGCCTCATCCAACTTCATCAAAGATGCCATTTTGTTTTCATCTGAAGACACAAATTACTGTGGTGCATACACGGTAACCCTCTGCCTTCCAGCTTGCTCCACGCCTCAGTTTCCCAGCAGGATCCCAGCAGTAGTTAGCGTGCAGGGAATGAAATCTCGGTCTCAGCTTTCCATTAAGCATGAGGGGTTATGGGAGAGGAAAGGTACACCCTGTCCCTTCTCCACCTCTCGGTCCTGCATGTTGGTTGTTCCTGGCTGAGATTTCCCCATCTGGGAGGATTCTGCATGGATGATGCATGGGGGCACAAAAGCAGCCCAGGCTGGAGCATACACACAGAAACCCAGGTGTGGTTCCTCCCAGCCGTAGATGCCTTTACAAGTATTGGAGCAGAGGGCATCCAGATGAGTCTGAAGTAGGTACCTGCATTCATCATCTTGATTGTGTTGACTAGATGGCCACAGAAGACACCAGTAGTTTGTCACAATGACCCAGAAATGCCTAAACACGGGTGTCTCAGGCTGTGAACACAGGGTACACAACCAGGGTGGAGATTCTTAAATAGATTTTAGATCCTGGTAGGTGGGGCTGTCAGGAAAAGTACAAGAACACATTAGATATTGCTGATTTATACTGCATTGCAAGACCTGATAGTAAGATATGGGTTTGCACCCAGAGACCCTGGAAAAGGAACCTCTTAAATTTTTAATTATGTTTTCCTTTTTCTTTTTATGGGTAGTAAAACATCTTGAAAACTTGGGGTGTGGGGGTGGGAGGGCGGGAAGCACTGGAGACCATGTTTAATGCTTTTAACCAAAAGATAAGTATTGGGGAGGGAAACAAAAAAAAAAAAAAAAAGCTTTTTTCTTTTGCTTTACTCCCCCAGTTTTGATGGATTTTGTTGTTGAACAAGAACATTTTGAGAAAATTTTAACTTCTCTTTATCAACCCTTTTTCTTAGGAAAAAAAAAATAGACAAATACATTCATGTGCTCCTCTAGGGTGATATTGGTGCTACTGATGCTAATAGGGAATTAGTGAATATAGTTATATAATGAATATGGTAATAGTGAAACTCCTCTTGAGACAGTAACCCAAATCCATGTGTCTGTGATACATTTGGTTCGCGTTAGTGAGGCAGTTGATTAATGCATTTACGAGTGCCAGTCCTGCTTTTCTTGTTGTGGGAATGCCTGTCTCAAGGCCACCCGTTTTGTCCCCTAATTACTATAAAAATCTCTATTTCCCAAGATTATTAGTTACAGCTCACTCTCTGTTAGAAGGTAGATACAACTACAGGCAGAAACTAATTATGTTCTCTTTCTTCAGGCTGGGTGTAAGCTCACCATGGTCTTCTTTCAGTATTGTATCATGTCTAACTACAGCTGGCTCCTCGTGGAGGGACTGTACCTCCACACTCTCCTGGTTATTTCTTTCTTCTCGGAAAGGAAGTTCCTCTGGTGGTTCATCGGCCTCGGATGGGGTATTGGTTCTCCTTTCAGTAAGAATAACTGTGGGTTTGTTTTGCCTTTGGGATGGACTTGTGGAACAGTAACTAGCTTTTCCAATCGTAGGTGCCCCAACCATCTTTGTGGCTGCATGGGCGACTGCTAGACAGCTCCATGAAAACATTGGGTAAGTTGTGTGGAGGGGGAGAAGGTGACATGCCAGGGGGAGCCTGCAGCCCCCCCGCAGGCTGCTCCACGGCTCCTGCTCAATTCTAACCGCTGGCAGCCAAGTAAACCAACCACCACCCCGCTGTGGTGTGAGCCTGAGTCCTGGCGTGGGTGGGAGCAGAGGTCCAGCTGAGCAACCTGAGAAAGAGCCTCAAATTTCATTTGAGCATTTTCAAGGATAGGCGGTAGCCTTTAAGTATGAACTCAGCCCACAATGTTTTCAGCATCTGTGTTTGACTTTATGATCAGTGAAACTTTGTTCCTTTCGCTTCTCCATTCCAAAATTTTGAACAGTAGTTCTACTGTAAGGGCAGGATATACTTTTGTCCCACGCAGGTGGACAGTTTTCTGTCATAAATGTTGTACTGCTAAGTGAGAACAGGAAATTCATTTCATATAAGAAGGGAATAGGGGTTTATCTGAAGTGCAAAGCAGACTAACCTCTTTGAAAAGATACCAGTGTTTTCATAACTAACTGCACCTTCTCTTCTATTTTTACAGGTGTTGGGACATTAACACTAATGCCAATACCTGGTGGATCATTAGAGGCCCCGTAGTTTTGTCTATTTTTGTAAGTCTTTTCTGGGACAAGCAGATTCAAACTGTATTTTAAAATATTGTGAAGTCAGAGATCATCCACTCAACATGCTTTAGAAGTGTGTTAATGAACTGATCTTAGACATGTGCCTGAACTGGTGTGACACATGAATTTACTGCTTAAGCAACTTCTGCTCAGCAGGATTTAGTCAGTGACTAATGCCCCGAAGCTAAGTTCACAAGGAAAGCTAGAGTGTCCTCCCAAGAAGCAAAAGCCTGAAGAAGATCAGGTTTCCACATCCTGTTGATTTCATATGAACTTGGCTGGCTTGTGGAAGCTTGTTTTGGACTGATTCAAGGAAGGCAGTGGAGGAGAAATGAAGTGGCTGTACATATCAGTACAATTGCCTTTGTGTCTCCCGGTCAATGCCCCTCTCAGCAAAGCCAAAACCAATTTGCCTTACATGACCATTAGCTTTTGTTTTCAGCAATGAAAGCAACTCACAGGCTGCATGCACCATATGTTAGTGGACTGCAATTGTACTGAAATAAGGCATAGGCATTGAAACTCAGTGTGGACCTGCCCAGTACAAGGCAGTAGCAATGTCAAGTAGAGTTTGGTACACATAATACTCAGCATCTATGGTATGAGCATTTGCTGGTGCTCACCTTCAGAGCCTTGGGTACCAAGAGGCTGGAGCTGCTTCTTGGAGATAGTTGTTCTGCCCAAGAGAGGTGCTCTGGGGCAGACCACTTTGCAATCTCTCTGAAGCCCTAGTACAGAAACATGTGAACTGCTAGTTACTCCCAGGTAACCTGCTTACATTCCCAGTGAGAACCCAAGAGTTGGTGGAGGTTTTTGTGTTGCCATTATATTTACAGAACACAAACTACAACACTTGCATGCTCTCTTGGAAAACCCAAGCAGCAAAGATGGTGTGTTAAAGTTCTGCTCCCATTTACCACTAAACAATCCTTCATTCCCACAAGACAAGCAGAAGACCACCCAAGTGATTCAGGATCAACTTAACCCAGGCCACAGCATTTATTTTTCTTAATGAAACAACTCTTACAGCTCCAGGAGCCACTCAGCAATACTTAAAATAGCACAATCTTAATTTATCTTTTGATGGACGCCACCTGCTATCCCCTTCCAAGTTTCCTCAAAATCCTGATCACATCTACCTTAGTCACTTAAGTCAGGAGCCGCCTGCATGACTCTGCCTCTTTACCCAAAGGAGACTTGTCTCAAGGCCGTAGCCACAAACAGCTAGTTATTTGGAATTCAGATCTAATCTCTTTATTCCTCACAGCGCGCAGTCTTTAGCAGTTCAAAGGGCAGAAAATCAACAGCGATAAACTCCTTTGTGTTCCCAGGCTAACATTCATTGCTGTGCTGCCCGCGGGCAATCCCTCCCAACAGGAATCCCGCCATCCCCCCTTCCCCAGTACTTTTGATCAGCCAAAAGTCCTGCTCAGCCTACACCTTTCATGTCTGGCCTACGGGGTTAAAAACCCCAGAATCCCCAGATCTGAACCTCCTTTTCCTCCCAACACCCTCAAAATATTTCAGGCTTTCCTTCATATTCCCTACCCCAGCTCTACTCCTTTTCTCACCCCTCCCCAGCTCCCCAAACTTCCAGCCCTCTCCAGACACCCTCAGCAGCCCAGACCATGCAGCCACTTGCTTCCTCTTCATCCAATAATTTATGGAACCCATGGGCATCCTGGGTCTGTCCCACCTAGAGTAGACCCACTTCTCTTAGGGAAATGCATCATCTCAGCCTGCTCCCACACCCACAGGCACGTAGAAGCCACCATGAAGAGGGTGCATCACTGCGATGGTGTTTCCAGGCGTAGGGAAGGGCTAAGGTGCTTGCCACAGTGCAGGCTGTTGCAAAAGGACTGTGGGTGCGGGTCGGCGGGCTGTGCCGGTACAGGAGGAGCAGAGGATGATATTGGGAGCCCTGAAGTGAAGGGCAGATAAAACCAAGGTCTCTTCCAAGTGCTACAAGTTGGCCCTGGGAGAGAGACAGGCTCTGCCGACCCTGCGATTCCTACTCTTTGCCTGAGGGTCAGACGAGCAGAAACAGTTGTTGCTTCACCTTTGCCCCAAACTGAGCAGCAGATCAGCATTTTTATCTGGTACCCACCCTTGGAGAGGGGGAAAATGCAAAAGGAAGAGCTTCAATGTCCACTCTCTCCTATCCCCACTTTTAACCACTTCCCTCCATCATCCCAAACCACGCTGTGTCTTTTGGCAGGAAACAAACGGCATTTGCAGTCCCAGTCAGCAAGCGGTAGCTCCAGTGCTTCCCCTTTGCTGGCATTCAAAGCGGGGCCAGGCAGTGCAGAGGCTGTCTGAACCCCTCAGCCAGAAGGGATCCTACCAATGTGCCTGCTGTCCCTGCCCTTCAGTGATTTGCCTGGATAATAATCCCTGATTGTCCCCATAACTAAAGCTGCAGCAAAACGGTGGGGAAAGCAGCCAGCACCCAAGCCCAGGGTGGCTGGGCAAGCTGGAGAGGCAGGGACAGGGACTGGGATGGGGACAGGGGCACTGCCAGGCCAGCCCCAGCTTCTCTTCTCTGTTCTGCTTGCTCACCCAGAACACCCCAAACTGGCTCTGCTGATTCCTGGCATTTACATAAGTGGTTACTGGGCATTTGGTTTTGTTGTTTGTTTGTTTGTTTTTCATATTCTTCCTTTTGTTTTGTTTTGTTTTGTTTTGTTTTTTTTCAGATTAATTTCATTATTTTTGTTAACATCTTAAGAATCTTGATGAGGAAGCTCAGATCACCTGAAGGACGGAGTAGTGATTTCAGCCAATACAAGTATGTCCCTTACATCTCGACTTTATGCCACGTGAGCCCACCTGAGCTCCTCTTGTTCCTTCTCCAACAACTTTCCCCTCTGTTTTTGTTCTCAGGAGACTTGCAAAGTCAACACTCCTCCTCATCCCTCTCTTTGGAGTGCACTATATTATCTTTGCTTTTTTCCCTGAAGATGCAAGCAGTGGCACAATGGAAATTCAGCTGTTTTTCGAATTGGGTCTTGGATCATTCCAGGTAATATTTGACAAGCTATTATTTCTTTAAAATAAGAAAAAGGTAAAACATATAATTCTGCAACAGAGCAGAGTCCCAATGGCAAAACCAAGCTGCCTGATTTCCCTTGAGATGCCTCATCCCCATTCAAAAGCAGAAACTGCAATTCTAATTCTGTGACCATGGTTCTTTTATATTTCAGGGCTTTGTCGTGGCTGTACTTTATTGTTTTCTTAATGGTGAGGTGAGTTTTGTGTATATAACATTATTTTTTATTGCTCTAGCATGCCTCATTTCTCCAATTAATTACACATTTTATATGAGGGCTTTCTTCCCAGATACCTAACATCACTCGTGAAATACCTCCTAGGCCTGGCAAGCCTAAGTAATTGTATGCCAGATGCAAACTTCACCTCAACTATTGCAGCCCTTTTGTAAATCAGATAGCATCATTACTGTCTGGGAACGGAGGGTGAGAGCACCATCCCACACATGGTCACACTGACAATCAACTGGTTCTGATGTATGATGCTATTAGCTGTCATCCCATGGCTGGTGTTTTTGCTTGATCCTTGGGAGGGAATATATCAAAAGCTGTATCCAGTCCAAGCTTATTAGGACTCTCATAAGGTAAAGCTTTTGGAAGAGGGACTGTTTCCTTTGTAGTCATATGATAACTTCCAGGCTTCTGGGCTAGAACTTGCACTCTGAAACGCTGCTGCTGGGAGAGGTGGGGGGAAACTTTATCCAAACCTGGGAGATCCTGAGGTTATTGGAAGGAAAAAGAACCAAAAACCATTAGTTCCTAAAGTTGGATGAAAAAGTCACTTGGAAATGGAGGAGGGGGTTGAAATTGACTGATCCTTTAACAGGGTTCAGAAAAAGTTGTTTTGAAAAGAAAATCTGCATTTTTTTTAGCTTTGAGTTCTAAAATGTCCTGTTTTTATAACTAAAATAAAAATCTTGGAAAAATCTAAATCAAATACTTACTAAGGCCAGCTAAACTCTGTGAACAGTTTCACCTGCAATTAAACAGAAAGGTTAACAGAAAATTGTGTGGCTGCAAAACAGTATCACTAGAAGTGACAAGAAACAGGCCCTACCCTAAACCCTTAAACTGGGGGTTAAATAAATAAATTCAGACCTTGGCAAAGGTAACCCACTCTCCTTTTCCTGTTATACTGCTCTCCGCAATGCACGGCTCCAAGATAAACTACGTGAACTAAGTATTTTGTGACCTTTCTACCTAGGTTCAGCTGGAAGTTCAGAGAAAATGGAGGCAATGGCATTTAAGCAAACACTTGCGTCAGCATCTCAGCACCTCAGCGAGTAATGGAGGAAGTGGCTTAACTCAAGAGATGCAGATGGTGAGGTCAAGCCCACCAGAGCACAGGAGAGCAACCCTCCAAAGATCAAGCGTGCTTTAACACCGTATGCCTGGAGGATACCTCCGTGCTCAGATACACATGGTTAAATCCCATGGACTGTGTTGGGAGTCCTGTGTATGTATCCGAAAGCAGGACTTGGCTGTAGATCAACAGTTCTTGAAGCACATCTGTTCATTTATATCCTGTGTAGCACCAGAGTTATTTGCAAGGCAAAATGGGCCAAAACTTTATGCTCTTCCTTGGGTTTCTGGCCATAGTCATTTGTGTTTCTTTCCATACCAATATTTTTCGGCTGCTATTTCTACCTTAAATGTGACCTTTCATTTTCCATGTGGCTCTGCAACATGTTCCAGGCTAAGCCAGGCTGGTGAGTTTTAGATGGTCTCTATTTCTTCTGCTTTTGAAGCTGGGAGGACATTTAATTTTGTACAATGGATGTTACATGCCATCTTTTAACACAGCCCAGGGGTTTGAAACGCGAGATTAATTCATCCCTAAAATTTACAAAGATTCAAAATCTTTCTGTTGTCGTGATGGATGATGGACACTGGGAACATGAAACACAGCTGAGCTCCTCTTTCCTCTCTGACTGCATATCCATTGCTCAGGTATGCTCCAGTGACAGGTTCAGGCAGTTTTCTTCTTTTGTCTCTTCTAATGGTGGAGACCTCAGAAATAACAGCAGTCCAATTTGGATCTTTGTATCTTTCTGAAATGGTAAAAAAGCTATTATAGCATATTCCAAGGGTGGCCAAGAAAACTTTAGTAAGATGGCTCTTTCCTATTGTGTCTGTACCTCTGAGACTTGTCCAGCTACTCTTTGAAGGGAAGCAGTGAAAGCCCTTGAGATGTTTAAAACTCAGTTGAGCTGCACAGTACAAGGTATCTCGTGAGAACCACCACCATAGTGGCTGGCAAAAGAGTCTATGATCACTCAGCGTGCTGAAATTTGCAAGACTGTACTGTACTGTAATACACTGTGCCAAGGTGTCTGAGCTTCTGTTAAGCTTTATGTTCTTCAGGATAAAATTGTTAAGCAAATTTCCCTGGTTTGAGTGGGAAAGGGAAAAAATAATTAATCCAACAAATGCAATCCAAGCCTCCTACTTGATTTTGTATCTGCATTTCCCCAGATGGGGCAATTCATGCCTGGTTTTCTTCAAGGGCAAAGATGACTGAACAGAAAGAAAGCAAGTGGCGCTTATCACGCTTCTGCTTCTCCCTCCTCCCAGTCATCCACAAGACATTGGCAAAAGGTGTATGGTATGTCAAATGCTGACAGAGCAACATTCCCCAACTGCTCAGCCAAAACCGCCCTAACAGCTTTTATTCACACCAAGCATCATGGTAGACCTCTGTCATTTTACCAAGGGGCAAACAACGTGCAGAGAAATTCAAAGGATGCTTTCAAAGTTAAACTACCTGTGCAGAAGCAGGTTTCTGAGTGCTATTAGCACTGTTTCAAACCCCGAGATTCAGGAGAAATGTCTCTGTGCTGACAGTTAGAGGGACGGCACAGCCCGTATCCTCCCTGGCGAAGCTGGCACTGCGGCAGCACCGCTGAGGGCAGCCGGGCGAGGAAGGACAGCTCGGCAGGAGGGAGGGTTTCGCGTTCTCCCCGGCCTCCCCTGCCCGGTTGGCTTTGACTGCTGGTGTGGGTCACCCAGCAGTGGGAGAGCTGAACCTCTTTAAAACCAGGTTAAAAAATAAAATATAAAGCAGTGAACAGGCAAACATTTCCAGGAATTAATTTTAAACTTGAGTTTTTGGAAATGGAAAGGTTTTGAGTTGACATTATCCTTTAAAACTCAGCGAAAGCAAGTGGAAGGAAGAGCAGAAGTAGGATCAGTCCTGTGACTGAGGGAGAAGTGAAAGCCCCTCCGTGCACCTTCGAGTGACTTACCCAAGCCAAGCAGAGCCTCCAACCTTCTTGGGGGTTCACTCTGTCCCAGCATATTTAGCAAGTCAGATACTTCCAAAAAGATACAACCATTAGCCTAATTTTCTCTCCGGCCTACAGATAAGACCAAGAAGAGTAAAACAACTTGTATGTTCCCTGTCTGAGAAATAAACATTTATCAGTCAAGCCAAAGCAGCTGTTTGTTTTAAATGCAAGTGCCTTCTTCCAGCATAAATGAAGAAATACAGATTCAGAGATACAATAACATGTAATTAATCAGATCTGATGCAATTATTGGCTCTCCCACAAACCAGTGTAAGAGCTCAGCCTTGCAGTGAGTAGTCAGGACTGGCACTGATAGCACAAGGTCAGGTGGAGCCCAAGCTGAGCGTGATACCTATTTGTACAGGAGTCCAGGTCAAACAGGCGTGAACCATATACCCCAAAGCAAAACACTGCTGGTTTTTGTATTCTAAAAAAAGTTCTAGCATAAATTATTGTTTTACATGGCCATTTTAGTTTTATTTGACTTGCCTGAAATAACTGCAAAAAGAAAATACTTCCAGTTTCTCTATTACATGTTTGCTTCAGGCATTGAGAGCTGGCCTGGTTTATATGAAAAGCTGAGGATCCACCATAAAAACCCTTGGATGGCAGCTGGCATTTGGAGTCCTTGGCTCTTTGGGAAGAACAAGTCCCCTGGAGCAAGTGCCAGAAGCAGGCAGCCCCAGGCATCACAATGCTGTGACCTAGGGGGAGAAAGCTGCTGCCAAACACCACCATAGCAGGATGGGTTCTCACCTCGCCCACCTTCTGCACTGGCAATGCAGAAGAACCCTTCCCTGCTGGGGATCTCTCTTGAGTAACTGCACTGAAGAGTACTAAAGGAAAGAGCTACTTATGCTGCCATGTTTATAAGCAGACGAAGAGGAACGGGGAAGTAAATCTCAGTAAGCAATGCAAAAAAGCAGGAGATGAATGAGTGCAAGACATGCAGACTCCAGCATCAGTTAGTGGCATGAAATTACTGTCACAAACTCAACACAGACCCCATATTCAGAGTTCACCAACTTCCCTTTCTCTATACTCCCTCCTCCCTATTCAGTGTAAAGCAGGCTCTTGCTATCAGTAAACAGGACTTGAGTACCATCTTTCAGCCAAGCAGGTATCATTGCTCTGGGACACTGGTGACAGACTCCGGCTATTCACTCCAGGGCCTCTGTGAAGCCAGTTAGAGCTCTGCAACCCAGCCGTGCAGGCAGCAGACCCAGTAGCCTGAACATGAGCAGTCTAATACCTAAGGCTGAATTTAAGAGGAAGTGCTAAATGGCATTTCTTTCCCAACACAGCAACAAGGAAGTTCCCAGCAAAGCCTTCAGAAGCAAAAAGCAGTATTGTTGTGAGCAGCGAATAATTATTTTGTGCACCACCTCACTAGGCATGGGGGGGGGGGGAGCTGAAATGAACAGTTTCAGAGCTGGGTGGTGCCAATTTAGAGGGGTTGGATCCACGGGAAGGTAAGACACCCCAGGAATCCAGCCAACACCCCTTCCAGTACAGCCCCTAGGGGCAGACCTTTCTTTCACCCAGAAATAAGGCCCTTCTTACATGTGCAAGCTGATATGGAATGTTTAGAAGAAGGGCCATTACCTGCTTACCATAGGCCCCAGCAGTGAAAGAGAAGGCAGGTGAGGAGAGTCATCTTCCCGTAATCACCTTCCTGACTTACAAAAGCAAGCAAAGCTCAACGCCCAAACCAGGTGTCCCTCCAAGCACAGCTGATGGAGCTACTTAAAATCAAAATACTAGTAACAGTCTAGGATATCTCCCCAGCTAGCGTGCCCTGTACCGTTATTCCCTATCTGCAAGCAATGGTTTGTGCAAGAGTTTTCAATTAAAGTTAGTAACTGAGCAAGTCTAAGCAGCTCTTTACCAAGATGTGATCATTACCCTGCTTTTAAGATATATTAAACCATCTGAGACAGGCCAATGACCTCTCCCATCAGAAAGAACACCAGGTGCTAATTAATTTTCTTGAGATTACATAAACTAATTCAGTGGCGAAGCTGGAAATCTGTTTTCCTGACATTTAACTAAACCTGCTAATACAGTGAGCTCGGGAAAAACCTGTATAAATACATTTGTACTCAGATACCACTTCTGGAGGCCAGATAAGCAGAGCTGGGGAAAAAAGCAAGGATGCTTCAGGCACAGGGTGCAGTGTGGGAAAAGGGAGGTGAAGGACACAGGAAAAAGCTCTTTAGCTGGTAAACAGAGCACATGCAACAGCAGGAAATCATTAAGAGCCTACAAGGTTATCTCTAATTCCCACGAAGCAGCACAGCTGACTGCCTCTCTTGTTTTGCAAGACAAGAAAGCAGTGCTGGCTGCTTGAGTTGGTGTTGATATGTTGGAGGGGAAAGGAGAGGGGAGTGTGCAGCAGCTATGTGGCCTTGGCTTCCTTCAAGTAGTTGTTTCTTCATTGGTCTAGCTGGGTAAACACACGGAATGGCACTTGGGAGATTATGTAAAGCCCACTCATCCTCTTAAATCTGAACCCCCAATATTTAAATATAAAAAGAGATAATTACAGTTATCTTATTTCAAATAAATTTATTTAACAAACTTCAGGAATATTGCTTGACACTTCCACAGGCTTTAGAAAATTAAGTTACCCATTGCTGCACAGATCGCTGTACATAAAGGTGTCTCCAAGACAATCAACCCTGTTTTGTAATATTTAGCCATCAAAATGCATCTTCTTCCAGCATTAGTAAGTCAAGCAGTACTACACAAAGCCAGTTGGAAAAAAGTTACTGTGTTTTCCCTAGAGGATTCCCTACCCCCAACAAAAGGCCTCTTCTTTAGCTAGCAGAGGGCATCCTAAGATTATCCACAATTGCACCAAGTACTGGGTGAACTCAGTGGCCAATTGTTCACTGCCCCCCTCTATCCCGAGTGGGAGGCACCCGTCTGGGACTCGGTCTGGCTACAGCTGCCTTCCCCCAGGGAGGGGGCTGGGGGCACGGCCTCCCACTAGCACAAACAGGAGTACATGCAGAATTGAATTCCAGTTTTGGGTGTCACCAGGAAGGCACTCTGAAGTTACATCTGTGTTTCCAGACAAGCCATGGACACCCTTAACCTCGTGTAGGGGAGCTGTCCTGCCTGGCATAGGCACCACAACTGATTTATTGGTTAGTTAAGGCACTTTACCACCTGGTAACACCAAAGTGCAACAGTTTGGTGCTAGACCTTGCAGACTCTCTCTTGTGGGGTAAATGGCTCTGCTAAAGCCAACAGCACTGTTCACACAGGCGTCTGCAAGTTCAGCCCACTAGTATGTCTTCAACAGAGCAAAGTAGCAAATCAAAAGCACCTTGACAAAAAGAGACACAATCACAGCTCAGAGGCAGGTTAGGGGCACAAGTCATTGTCCTTGAGAACAGGTCAAGAAGCTCTGACAGAGCCCCAGACATAGCAAGAGCTTCAGGAGTTGGCTGGGTAGCACAGCTCTGTGCGTTATCTCACCAGAAAGATGGCGAGATTCATGTGCAAAAGCACAACTGGCAGCGTCCAGAGCAAGTCTGGTCTGAAACTGAATTGCAAAACAGGCTTGGGAGTGTCATCTTAAAAAGTTACGGAAATCTGAGAAGGAATGGACACTGTCCTCATGAAGACAAGTGAGTCCCCAGGAGCACATTCAGAAAGTGCAGATGTATGCTCAAGCAGGACTTCAGATTCTTAGCTTTCAAAGACAAAGCTGTTTACTCATGGCTCGCCTACACAGCCTTCTCAGCCTTTGTGCTATGATGCTTTTGTTTCAGGTGAAAAATTGTGTCAAACTTGATGCACAGGAAATGAAAACCTTGCTCAACAGCTATCAGACAAGCTACAGAGATTAAACACATAGAACCATTTGTCCTAAAACAAAAATAGAGGCAGCCTTACCGGCAGATATAAAACAAACATTAAACCAGAAACCCCAAAATACTCTGAAGACATTTTTATCTGTGGACAACCAAGTGCTGTATGTTGGACCCAGAGGATACATGTAGGGCAACCAACCTCTGAGGTCTCCTGCTGAGGTCTCTCCTTTTACATCAGACCCCACAGGAAACTTCAAAGCTGCAGCAATTTTAGAGATCTTGACTCAGGCACTGGCAGAAGGAAGACCAGCCATAACATAATTTTGACCAAGACTCTTTGTATTTCCACCAGCTGTGACAGATTAGAGCTGCCCCCATTAGCCCCTCCTTAGGCAATCATGGGTGGCTTCTCCTCCCAGTCCTACTGTTAATCAGGGGAAGAAAAGGACTCGGTCTGGTCAGAAAGACCTAGAGCTTTCTCCTTCCTGAAGAATTGCTACAGGAGACTCTCAGCGACAGGATGAGCAGATTTCCCATTGCCTCAAGTGAGACAACCACTGACAACCAAAGCACACCCCAGAAGGTGTAGTGGTGTCAGCATGGTGTGCCCAGCCACAACACCCACCTAAAGCCCCTGCAGAACTTGTCCCTCTTCCACCAAAAGGACAAAAATGGAACCAGGAAGATCAATGTCCTGTTACAGAGAACTTTGCAAGGGCTGTGCAGGAGCCAGTTGGGGAGACCATTTGGTACATGTCCTGTAGGGGTGGCAGAGGAGCAGTGACAGGGTGGAGAGGCAGCAAGGACAGGAACGTGCACGGCTGCCTGAGGAAGGCATCAGAACCCTTCCCTGTACACCTGCATCACCCAACGCTTGCCCTTGGCTCCAAGACAGTTACATCTCCCTGTGCCTCTGTGAGAAGTGTCCCAGAAAAACTTCACAGAGGAAAGGACAGATACAGGGAATGTGCCAGCAGGAAACAAAACAGGTGATCAGATCAAGAGCTGCGTGCTTTCTCTTTTGAAAGAGAAATTGAGGAGTGAGATCCAGTGAAGATTTTCAATACTCAACACCAGAGAGCATGGCCAGGCACAAATCATCTGTCCCTGGGACAGAGCAAAGTTGTGTCACACTCTTCGGAGGCTTTGGAGTACAGGGGAAAGCATAGCAACACCAAACCCATAGCAGTGCAGGCTTTGTGTAAGCCTCAAAACAGCCCATGTGTGTATATTGCAGACTGCCACCCCTCTGCATGTTTAATGGGACACCCTCTTCTTTAATCGACTCCTCCAGAAAACCACACTGCAGCAGCAGCCAGTCCCTGTCTCTGCTTTTCTCACGTTGCTCAGCCCTCCATGCTGACCAGTGGGTGGGTACGTCTTCTACAGACATCAAGACTGACTCATTTCTCCTCCTTGCACACAATTTAAGACACGGCGTCCTTTTCAAAATTCATTAGACTCCCTTTTTTCCAGTCTAATTGGCAAAGCTGATTACATGAAGGCAGAGGTACACCCTTTGCGCCTAGATTTTGCCTATGCTGTTCCTGGGGTGCGTGAGGCTGTTGATGTGAAGTCCGCTGATCCCATTGAGGAAGAAGAGAAAGGCAGCAATGAACTCGCACCAGTACGTCAGCGTGAAGCCCGTGAAGGTGAGGTGATCCTTCACGAGGATGGAGAAGCTCAGAACCCCGGTGGCTGAGAGCAAAAACGAGCCGAGGATAAGAACCGAGCCCATCGACCACTTTCGCCGCGCATTGGCATCCTCGCACACTTGCGACACCATCAGCAGCTCCAGGCCAAATATAGCGACCACCACGGCAAAGGACACCAAGCTTCTTATGGGAATCGCCCCCACGCTCAGCCCCTCCACCCTGGCCAGGCTGAGGTCAGTGACACACCTCAGGGCGCTGGCGTTGCTGACGGTGCAGAAGTGCCACAGTCCGAAGAGCTGCCCCCTCGCGAAGAGCCAGCGGCCATCACAGACGGAGATGGAGGACAAGACCACCGCTATGGCCACACACAGGATGATCAGGCTCCTGATGAGCGTCTCAAAGAAGGATTTCTGGGGTCTCCGGTGCGCCAGCAGCCTCTGCGCCTTAAAGGATAGTGGGGGTAAGAAAAAAAAAAAAACCAAACCTGAATTAACAGTGCTACTTAAAGGTGAACTGAAACCAGAGGGACAAAACCGGGGGCCTCCATTTGAAAATATTTTCTTGTGCAGATCAAACCCCTTCTCGCAAGGGAGGGCAGGGCAGTTACATGCTGCACCCAGAAGAAAGGAAGGGTGGGTGAAGCTCTCCGAGTTCTCTGGCTGCACGAACAATGCTCCCACGTCAAGGTCCGGGTTCAGGATCACAAAGGCTCTGGGCTGAGCAGGATCCCAGCCCCACGGCTCCCGCGGCCCGGCCTCCTGCTCTGGCAGGGCTGGAGGAAACCGCCAGCCCCGGGGAGGATGGAGAACGACGCCTGGGACGGGGGGAGGCGGCTCACAAACACCAGCACTGCCCTCCCGCGCTGCGCCCAGCCGGGCTCTCCCGCTCTCGCCGGCTCCTCGCCCCGGAGCCAGCGCGGCTCGGCTTCCCCGGGGCTGGGGGTGTCTCCAGCTGCCGCCCCCTCGAACCCGCGTGGGCAACACACGCTCCCTCCTCACCGAAACCCTCCAGGAGGGTCCGAAATAGAATGAAAAAGCCAGGCAGCCCCCCTCCTCCAGCCCTGCGCGGGGCAGGCGGTGGTGGCTCTGAGCTCCAGGTGCGGCGGGGAGCCGGGAGAGCCGCTGCCGGGCCGGAGAAAGGCGGGGTGGGGGTGCGTGTGTCCTGCCGGCTGCACCCCACGGCTCCGAGGAGGGTCAAGCCGAAGCACCAGCCCTCCCCCCCCCACCCCCGGCCCCTCCAACGCGGGGGGGGGGGGGGGGGATGCGCGGCCCCGCAGCCTTCCCCGTGGACCCCGGGCGGGCGGGCGGCGACGTACCTGCGCCCCGACGGCCGTCATGCTGCCGCCAGCGCCGAAAGACGAGGGGGAGCTCCGGCCGCGGCTTTTTATGTCCCCGGAGGGCGGCGGGCAGCCCTCCCGCCCGCCACGCCCGCGGGGCCGGGGCGCCCTCGGGGGCCCCCCCCCCGCCGCTGAGTCAGCAGCGCGGCCGGGCCGGGCCGCACCCCCCCCGCCCCGGCAGAGCGGGGCCGGGCTGCCCGGGGCTGCTTCTCCCCGCTCGGGGCTTCTCCCGCCCTGGGAGAAGGGGTCTCTGCCGGCGGCTCCGCGCCCCGCACCCCGCCAGCGCCGCCGCCCGCCTCGGGCTGCCAGCACTCGCTGCTCAGCGACCGGCGCGCTTCGCCTTACGGCTCCACCTGTACCGTCACCAAAAACGGCTCTGCTCACAAAGTTTTATACCCCTGCTCTGCTTCTCATTCATTTTTGCCATCCTCTAATGAATTACGGATTGCCTTTTTTTTTTTTTTTTTTTGGTCAGAAACGGCTTTAAAAAAAAAAAAAAAAAAAAAAGCCCAAGGAAGTTGGGTTTTGCTGTGTCATCAGAAACTTTTGTTTTACTGCCAAATTCTGATTTTGATTCCAGCAGGGAGGTGTACAGTGACTCCGCAGGCTCCAGCGGATGGACTCAGGGGTCGTTGTTCTGGGTCTCCCCTGTACGTAGCCCGGGTCAGAATTCGACCATTCCCTTTCCAGCCGAAAGGAGCTGGAAGCATCTCCTCCTCCTCCAACGTGGGGTGGTAGAAGTCACCATAATTTTACCCTTCTTCCAGCTTCCATTTCTGTACAAATCAGTTGCCTACATAGATTGTCTCATTATTTTAATCTTTACACAATTTCATGACAGCTTTCTATGTTTCCTTTAAAAATACATGTATCTCTGTTGTGATTTAGCTGGGGGTGTTTTCTGTAACACTATCTCTAGTAAGAGTGTTCTGAACATGTTTACTTTAGTTTTCATGCTTTGCATTTTAATGATAAATTTTGACCTTTTTCTTTCTCTCTTCCTGCAAAATCTTTTGTTCAATTGTTTCTCTTCAAAGCTGCATACTTTATTAGATTATATTTCTATCAAACACTGAATTGGGATTTTCCACTTTTGCAACACGGCAAATTTTTGCAAGGTCTGTTGTTAAAACTCCTTTTGTGGGTTTGTGGTCTGCAATATTTTTTGTTTTCTGAACATGTTATCCAAGCTAGCAGGCTTGATGCTTGCCACATCCCTTTCATTTTAGGTTCACTGGATGATAGTTTTATGAACATCCTGGGCTATTTATTCCACAGTTAAACAGCATTTCTATATCACCGTGTTCAGACTGATCACATGCACTTGCTGTTACACCCTGCCACTTCTAAGTTCCAAATTTAACAATATTTATGCATTTTTGGCTCAAAAAGCACAACCAGGTCTTGTCTCATCTACTGAACAAATGCTGCTTGCACGTAACCATGCTAAGCAAATGCAGGTTCGGGCCAGACAAAATACACCGACTCTTATCTGGCAAAAACCTCACATGACTTACGCTTTCTGTAACGTGGACTCGATCCTGCAAAGCATTAGGCAATTTGGCCCCCAATTAGCAAAATTATTAAGCACAGATCTGCCTCTAAAACATGTGAGTCATTCTAATGACTTTAGCAATTAAAAACAAAAATTAATAGTGAAGTGTATCCTGCTGAACAAAATATATTTTTTTTCTGTAAAAGCCTGTGGTAAGGCTCACATGAGTAAACACGTGCATAAAAATCTTTGTAAAATGAGGAACTTAAAGTGGTTACTTTTGAAACCAGAACTGCTCCCTGTCATACTTGGATCCTTTAGTAGATATATAATTATCTGCCAAGCTGGCTCATTGAGGAAAAGAGTGGTTTGGGGATGGTACTTTTGCTGCAAATACAAAATTGCTTTCACATTTTGTATCTAATTTAGTTTTCCCAAATAGAAAGCATAAACCAGAATGAAACTTGATTTGTAATTAATATCAGCGCTGAATTGGTACTTTCAGCTTCACTCTTTACTGAAGTCACCAAGGGGTGAATGATTGTAACAGTTGTGTAAATAGCACAGTTACTAACAGTTCATTAGCACTTTGTTTCTGCTGTTGTTTGGCTGGAGATACTTTCTGATAAAGATGTCTGGATTTATGAAGCCTGGTAGAACCACACAACTTTTTCAAATGGAAAAATTAGTTTGTCTTCATTGTCTCATAACAAAACAAGCCAAATATGTTATCCATCTTTTAAAGATAAATTACAGAATTGTTTGAAGAGAAGACAAATTGTGGAAAAATGTCTTGAGATTATTATTTTGGAAAATCATATGTGAAAAGTGTTTTACAATAAAAAGAGCTCAGTGCTTTAAAAGGAAAAATAAGATACTTGTTTTTGCCCGAAAAATGTTACCTACATCATAACACGGTAAATGACCTTTAAAGCACCTCAGATGTATTTTTAGTTCAGCCGTGTTAATGCAGTGTTCTTGGTATGTTGCCAGTTTCATTATTTTGTTTAGAAAGTCCCTTTTCTCTATTGTTTAAGCGGGTATTTCACATCCTATCCCTGGAGAGAAAGTTTTCAGGGAAATGTGTTCATAAATAATGGAAATTACCAGAGACTGTTGTAAAACACAGAAATAGTTTCATCTGGTTCATTTAAAACCATGAGAAGTTTAACACTGAAGAATCTGTTCCAGTTTTTCTCCTGCAGAAGCCCAGAGAAGGTTCAGGACTGCTCTGAGAGTCACCAGGGCCTTGGGGAACAGTTACCCGATGAAGTATTTAACTTCAAGGTAAAGTAGAACACAAGTGACTGAGTCACCATCAGTCCAGGTTCATCTAATCTAATCTCAAAGTTGGTTATTTCTGTAAATGCATTGGTCTCTTGAATAAAATTCTTTCTTATCACGTCTTTAATTCTTGGCATAGCAACTGATCTGGCTAGGCATTTAGACCCTCATTTTTGCCAGATCCCCATTTCAAAGGGTCTTTCCAGACAGAAGTTGACCTGATCTTGGAGACAAATAGATCTTCAGTATCTTGCAGACTGAGATTTTGGGAGATGCCCAAGGCCTATATAAGGGGCAAAATGGTTCCCTTTGTATCTTCCCCAAAAAGTGAGCATGTAGAAAATTTTATGAGGAAGAAGGAAGAAGCTAGCTGCTGTCTCGCATCACTGTTCTTTTGCACTTTTTTTTTTGTTTGTTTGTTTTGTTTTTTCTTCTTTTTTCCTGGCAGTAGATTGAAAACCCAAGTTGAAGAAGCTGAATTCAGTTTTGGCTGGGTTCAACCTAGCTGGGCTGAAACAGAGTTTCTGCAATGGGGCAAAAAGTCAGCAACTTTCTGGCAAGCTGCTCAAGATCAGCAGTTTCTGGGAACACAGGCCCAGTCATCCTCAGCAACCAGTGTCCCAGGCAGCCTATGTCAGATAAGGGGGTTTTAGGTTGTACCAAGGCTCACAGAGCTCGGACCAACCCCTTACCACAACTACTTTAACTCATGATTTTCCTCCCATCACTGCAAGTTACCGCAGCCAAGCAGCCAGCCTCGTACTAGCACGTAAAAGAGATGCAGTTAAGCACATAAAAAGGAGAAAGCTCCCGGGCCGGATGGTGTCACTGCCTGGACACTCCTCCTGTGCCACTGGAAGGCAGACTGTGCCCACCCAGCCCGGGGCTACCAAGTGTCCCCGCAGCCCTGGGCCCCCCTGCTCGCTGCGACACGGCAATGCTGCCTGCCGCCGAGGTCTGGGGTCCCGCTGTTCATCCGAATCAAACCGTACCTGTGAAGGAGAGAGACTTTAAGCAGAAGGACAGGCTTAAAGGAATAAATTTTGTATCCTGGAAAGAACTGTTTTTTCCCTTTTGGTCAGTCTCTGGTCCTGCCTCAGCACGATGTTGCAGAGACCCAGCACCGGGTGCTCGCTTGTTTTGCATTGGCTTCAGCCCTTTTCAGGGACCTCTGGCAGTAGTTACACTGGCTTAGGACATACCTCAAAGTATTTTCATCTGTACATTGTGACAAATTGGTGCTTTGAAATATACATTCAATACAGAAAATAAAACTTTAGCCCTTTTAGCACTACTAGAAAAATTGGGGTCCATATTTCAATATCATGTAAGCTGAGGAAAATCATATTATTCAGTTTTTCAGCTGTCTTATGTATGTTTCTTCTCTCAGAACCGACTGAGCAGAGAGCTCATATAACATCCCGGTGTGCAGAGCTTTGGGCTCTTTTACACAACAATAAAAAGCTTCTCACTGCAGTGGCAGTACTTGGAGCTAAAATGACCTTTGCTAACATAAGGACTGGAAGGGATTTGTTGAGCCACTGATTCCACTTCCAGGAAATTTTTCATATAACCCTTTTCATAGGCTCAACAAACTCTAGGAATTTTGACCAGCTGTTCTGGCCCAGGCCCATGCTCATCAATGAAACTGTATTTTTGAATGCCTTCTCCATTAGTCTAGCTCTGTATGTTTTCACGTACTCCTGAGGTAGCAAAGAATTGCTCTAAAACTACAGTGATGGTTGTAAGAGATGAAACAGTTCTAGTGAGCATTAAGAGTGTCAGACCTTGAAAAATAAATGTATGAGTACTGGGACTAACAAAAAAATCCAGCAGCCACAGGTGAAAATGGAAATGAAAGTTAAAAGACCACTGTAGCCAAGCTCCACATGAATTCTCCATTCTAGAATAACACAATTAAGCTGTGTTTAACTTTCAGAGATATGCTGGTTCTAGAGGAAATACAAGCTTATTCTATAAACCATGAAGACAGGCTCATTCCTAGAATAGATGGATGTTATTTGCACTTTAAATGAGCAGCTGAAGATTGGTTAATTTATAGATCAGTTATGAGTTTGAAGATACTTCATATACTTGAGGGTAGGGGAAAAAATAAATCATATTTTATCTTTTGTTCTATCAACTTTTATGCTTCTGAGTTTATTACTGTGGTTCTCACTCAAAGGTATTATGTCTATGTAATATCAACTTGTCTTGATGCTAAGCAGCTTTGACAACTTGGAAGACTGCATAACCCTTTTTGGGTGACAGCTGTGGTATTTAGAAACCCATGCAAGCCAAAATACATTT